TCCAACGTGATACAAGTCTAAGTTGTCAGTAGTAGCACTTGTACGTAGTCTGTTCCAATGAGTCTTAGTCGCTGTCGCAGTTATAAGAATGTAGTCAGTTATAGAGTGGGACCATTCTAAGTTGTCAGTAGTAGCAGTCGTACGTAGTCGGTTCCAACGTGACCCAAGAGTTCCACCGAATTAGGGAAGTTATTCTGGGATGCGAAGGTTGTCTCTTGTGGCGCTGGTAAATACTAGCAATATTGTATATTACCATAAAAATACATAGAGGACTAATTTGGTTTATCAGGTCATCTATTGTGACTGACTATAAACTGTGGTTGTGCCAAAATTCGTCAGGAATTTGATAGCTCACGCAGGGTACTTAGTGCGTCCCACTTGAAAAATAAAGCGTGACTAGGCGGATCAGGACCCGATTTACACCAGGTACCCCATTGAAAATCAAGTGAAACCCTAAAGACACAGGCTCTTTGTGTTCCTTCGCCGATTAAACGTCAAAAACGGTTTATTGTCAACGGAAGCTGGCATTTAAAACGTTGAAGAGAAAAGAATGGACAATCGATGGACTAGGGCATGCGCCGGCCGATCAATGGGCCAGCTGATCCACCTCAGGTTAAACCCACAGACCGTGTGCACCATGTCCTCAGCATGTGTACCGCAGTATTCAGAAGGACGTTTTCGATAATGGCAAAAGAGCATGGTGCTCAGGGGATTTCAGAGGAAACGGTCCATGAGAAGTATGCCTTCCGTAGGACCGATCGTCCAGGTCAGTAATTCCTTACCCTTGCGACTCTCCACGTTGGTATATTTTTTGTATTTTTTATCTGTAATGTTTTTATCGTAAAAGAAAAATCTTCACGGCGATGGATTTATAGGAAAATACGAGACCGTCCGATCGATAACTTGTTCCTATGTCAAAACGGGTTTGGGCTTTTTGGTTGGCCCTCTACTTCTCTCGTGCTCCGGCTGTGAAATATTTAATGAAAACATCTCCGAGCTGCACGGTCGATATTGTGTCATCCCTAATAACATCTGTACTTAGTTTTATTTAAAAAAAGAAAAAAAAACTTTAAAAATTACAAACAACTAGGTGAAAAGGTCACTGCACCACTTTACATAGGTGTAGTCGACAAAACATTGAATTTGATTATTCAGAAATCGTGAGATGCGGTCTGGTGTGATATAGGTTTCAGAAAAACATATTTTTTTTATCGTGCCAACGTTTCGATCTTCATTGAGATCATCTTCAGGGCCTGGGGGAAAAAATTGAACTTCGAGTAAACTTGATCTATTAATCATTAAAAAAATTAATGTTTAATTTAAAGTTCCGTTATGTGATCTATAAAACATACTAAATCAAACTATACCAGCGGTTGCCAATGTCTAAAAAATTGGTAAAAATTATATGAACTATGGCTAAACTGTAGCTATCAGAGTTCAATTGTCATAAATCAATTACAATTCCTACTATTTAATGATTTGTGTATCCAATAATCCATTTAATATATGTTGAATAATGTTATCCTCGGTCGAAAAAATATAAAAAACTTAACAACAAGCACGATGAACCTTTTTGGTGGAGGTGTTTTGTTAAATTTATTTTTTGTCATTGGCATAAAATCAAAAATCCACTAATTGCCACAAGTGTATAACAAATAACAAGAATACGGACGTGAGATCGCCGATTTGACTAAAATTTTTGGTGATAATACCAGGTCGAAAAAACTTTAGACATGCGTACGAGCATTCTTGCCAATGGGCCATGTAAAGGAGCCGAGAAAAGTTTTTAAGTTATTTATAATTTTTAAAACATGTTTTTCTGCCTTTGTTGTGCTTGTATTTCATTGTTATTATGTATCATTATATATATATTTTTTTTAAATCTGAAATAAGAAAATTGTATTAAATAGAATTTGCCGAATTCTATTAAATGATAGATTAGATACATAAAATGTCACAAAAATGAAAAAAGCTTTCAGTAAACTAGCCTAAGAAAATTTTGTTTTTGAAAAAAAAAAAATTAGTATTCCATTTAAGCACTGTTCAAAGCACTTAAATACCAATTTTTATAGCAAACAAAAAAAATATAAATTTTTGTCAAACGGTTAAAGTAGTGAGAAGGTTAGACGTGTTTCAGAAAAACGCCTTTTTTCATTTTATTGCCAACGTTTCGACGTTTATAAGGGATCATCTTCAAGGCATAAAGTGTAGTGCTATTCTTGTAGTGTCATGTGTTTAGTGTATGCTTAAACAAACATGACTCTACAAGAATAGCACTACGCTTTATGCCTTGAAGATGACCCGAAAAAAGTGAGAAACTTGGGCAATAAAATGAAAAAAGAGTTTTTCTGAAATACGTCTAACCGGACCTCTCCTCACTATTTCAACCATTTATTGAACCACCGGTCGCTAAACAACATAAATTTTGAGTTGATCCTGGTTTTTTTTTCGCTCTTTTTTCCGGTGCTTTCGGACTTAAATATTCGTAACTCACCTGGATTTTATGCGAATTAAACGTTTTTACAAACATTGAAAAGCTGAATATTTCCTCTTTCTTGCTATATTAACAATTTTTAGGTTTTATGGTAGTATACGTGACGAAAATATTATGAAGATGAAGATGAAAAAATGATGAAATGGAAATATTTATGCTAATACGTGTAGTTTATAAGTTCACAAACCATGTAAAGTTTCCGGTAGATCGGTGCGGTGCGGTCGTTTCAGTTATCATTTTTTTTTTTTTTGATTCTCGAAAATATCTGAAGTAATTTGAAAAAAGGAAAATTTTAAGGGAAAAAAATTCAATTTTGATTTTTCCCAAAATTTGTATTCAGGGATTTTTTTGGCGTGCAGAAAGCGAATATCGATTTTGTTTCTTGCTAAAAAATATTTTAGCCTACTGTGCTAAGTCTCTATTTGCCAGCTAGCCAAAGGAAGGATGAGTATACGTAATTTGTGACCTAGGGACTTAGCAAAGTAGGCCAAAAAAAATTGGTTTTTGAAAAATTCAATTAGGGTTTGTTTTACGCAATTTTAATTCCTCTAAATACGAATTTTTATAGCAAACAAAAAAACAAATATTTTTTTGGGCTGACCCAAGGCATTTTTTTTCTCCTTGTCGTATTTCAGACTTAAAATTCATAATTCCTCTGGATTTTATGCACATTAAACGTCTTTACAAACCCATTGTATTTAGTGGTCTGATTGACCAAATTACCTCTTTCAAATAATTAATCTTTTTATGTAAGGTTTCGGTCGAGATGAAAAAGTTAGTGTCACAAGCGGGATTCGAACCCGTGACCTTCAATACGCCGCTGCTCTATCCATTTGAGCTCTCGTGACTTCGATCCACTCGGACGCCAACTTCCCATTTCGACTTTTCCCTCCTTTTTTTCAATTTTTCAATGTTTTTATAAACATTGGAAAGCTGAATATTTCCTCTTTCACGCTATATCAAAATGTTTACATTTTATGGTAGTATACGTGGCGAAAATAAGGATGAAATCAACTAAAACACCTCAAACGTTTTATTTTATTTATTTACCGAGGCAAATTTGTTCCAATACGTGTAGTTTATAAGTCCCTAAAACCACGAAAAGTTTCCGGTAGATCGTTTCAATGTTATCATCAGTTTTGTGATTTTCGAAAAGAAATCTGAAAGTGTAAAGCAAAAAATTTGTTAGAAAAAATTATTTTTTGATTTTCCCAAAAATTTGCATTTCGGGGTTTTTGTGTTCTGGATTTTGTAAATAAAGTTACNTTTGTATTACTTTTTCTAACCCATTTAATCCGGTCTCATTTTTTTATGTTAAAATACATTATACAATTTTAAAATTTATATCATGTTTGTTACTATTTATGTGTTATGAAAGACCTGTGACATTATTATTTTTTGTGCTATATAATTGTATTAGTATAATCTGTTTTTTAACAATTGAACTGTTTTTCCTACATATGTTTTTTTACAGTTACATGTGAGCAAATGTACGATATATAGAATTATATATTTTATTTCAATTAATTAAGGTTTTTAGTTGAGATAAAAAGTCAGTGTCAAGAGCGGGGTTCGAACCCACGCTCTTCGGCTAGATTCACCGCTGCTCTACCACTTGAGCTATCGTGACTTCGATCCACTCGGACACCAACTTCGCATCTCAACCCCACCTTTTGAATTTTCCCTCATTTTATATAAACTAAAAGCCTTAATTAATTGAAAGATATTAATTGGTCAAGCGGACCACGAAAACTAGTGTTAATAAGTTAAAATGAAGTATACCTTCACTAAAGCTCTCCGTGGCCATTTCATTTGTCAAATAGATTACACGACATTTGAAAGATGGCAAAAAGGAGAGAAAATTCGAAAGGTTGGAGGTTGAGATGGGAAGTTAATGTCCGAGTGGATGGAGGTCACGATAGCTCAAGTGGTAGAACATCTAGCCGAATATCGTGGGTTCGAATCTCGCTCTTGACACTGATTTTTTATCTCAACTAAAAACCTTAATGAATTGAAAGATATTAATTGGTCAAGCGGACCACGAAAACTAGTGAATATACATTTTATCTTTAATTTTGTAATAAAGGTGGTAGGCAATTCCATATTTTCATATACTGATTTATCATTAAATTATTATCTATTGCTTTTTCTTTCTTAAGGATTGTTAATATTTTTTTCTGTTATACCTTGTACGTAAATCGTACCAGCATAAATGTTTTTGTTCATATCTTTATGATTGTCGTTATTTTTTTTTAAGTCACTACAATAATTTAATTTTTGTTTTGCAACTATTTTAGTCTAATAATTTTTCGGGGTAATTGTACGTAAAAATATAATCAAAAAATAATGAGGTCGTGATTGATAAAATTGATACCGGAGAGAGATAAATGAACACATGGTTAGACATTGTTGGGAAGCCCACTGGTATGTACAGTTAATTTTATTAATATAATTTTTTTTAAATAATAGAAAAGTAAACGAAAAGATTTGTATAGGATAAGAAATGTAATTAACACTGAAGAGGACTCATGTCATGATTTCGAAAACGTGCCGTTAATAAAGAAAATTCCATGCTGATGTGTATTGTTCAACAACCTACAGTACAAGTGATATAATTTTGATATAATTTTTTTCTCACAAATTTCACCCTTACAAATTACTTTAGATTTTTTGTTTTGAAAATCACTAAAACGATAACTTGTGGAAATGGGGCGTCGGTGGCCTCAACGGTTAAGGTCCATCATTGTTAGGTAAAGGTCCCGGGTTCGAATCCAGCGGTCCTACATTCGAACCCGACATATTAACATTTTTTTTCAAAACACCGGCACCTCGAGGGTTGATATGACCTCTACTGTTGCCAACCCTTTCCCGCAGGGATACCTTCCTTGTGGGCCCAGGCAAAGTCCGACCATCAACCCTGGTGCCAGGGGGTAACCAATGATGGAGGCAAATTTACCCCCTTACCTTCCTACACCTTTCCTTCTTTTCCTTACCCCCCTCTGCTTTGGCAGAGGCTTCCTGGGTTACTGAACCCGCACCCCTCAGGCAGCGGGTGCATCAGTAGGGGGTTCGTATGAACTCCCGTGTGGGCGATCAGGCCCACCTTAAAAATAATACTGAACCACGGGAGTAGAGTACCCAAGCGGCTGTACTAATTGAGGTTGGACCCTTGGTGGTCGTGGTTTGCAAACATATTGTACCTTAGCTGGAGGGTACCGGCCAACGGGAACCGGAGGTAGAGTGCCTTCTCTGTCTCTCCGGGGGTGGTGAACGGCACGGCCGAAAAGTCGTGATGGAAACCACAAAACTACCTTTTTCAAGGCACATGTATGGTTGTACCCTTTTTAGGGCACTTCTGAACTTGGTTAGCATTGCACCACCTCGCTAGCCAAGGGATGTGACAAGTCCATGCATGTAAAATCTTCCTGGTGTTCTCTTTGAGAACACTGGGCCTCTGAGAAGTCCCATCGGGCATAAGTCCGGGTCTCAACACCCACGTAAAGATGGGAACATCTGTTGCCAACCCTCGTAAAAAATAAAAATAAATAAAATAAAAATCTAATGGAAAGTGTAGTTAATCACATACTTACAGCATGTAGTAAATTAAATTTTTATAAATTAGCCAGTCCATTTCTAATTAGGTGATGGAGTGATGGAGATGGATATCACTATGAAAACCTACATTAGATTGACGTATTGAACATCATTTAAAAAATCCAGTTCACAAAAATCAAATGGGACAGAACGGAATCAATAGGTAGATAAAACTCAAACCAAATCCAGAAATAATAATTTGAACATTAATGATTAATGAAATAATGGGCAGAGTGAGGTTGTTTTAGCCTGCACAATACGGCTATTTCGGTTTTAATGTTTGATATCTGGAGACGGATGTCGGATTTAGGACGTAGACTGCTTCTTATTTTGGTTTGGTGGCTGTATAGATAGAAAATCCGGATTCGCATAGGTAAGTTGTGCCAAATGGAGAACACGTTTTGCTTTTTCAACGAGCGGATGAAATTTTTTGTTTTTCAGACTGCCAAAAATGGGGGTATGTATCGAACTCGAAAGTAGATTTGAAGGTGGAGTCTGAAGTAATGAAGTAATGATTCTTATTCACTTGAAGATAGACTGCGTTGTCAAAAATGGAAACTTATGGTCTTGCATCATTGTATCTCGAGCCGTTGGGAAGTAGTGCTCAAAGGATCTCCAAACTTCGAAGGTGTCGCATTGCTTCAATCAACGTGCCGTTTGTAAGCACCAGTTCTTTTCTTTTAAAAATTCTTTGAACCCAGGAAAATATTCCACCTCTTCCTTCTCAACGGATTCAACCCAAACTGGGTTTTTCTTTTGAAGGCGCGAACTTTAGTCATTAGCGTCGAAAGTTGTGATACTCTTTCCTTGCAGACAGACTCATCTCATTCATTTTCTTAAAAATATCTGACAAATACGGCAGAATACATTGCCATTTCTTAACATTGAAAACGTTGGCCAAGTCGACATCGTGGTCCACCAACTTCAGAACGTAATTCTTGTAATCGTGAAAGTGCTTTCCAATGAGACAGCCACTCACTTCGCTATGGAGAAGCAGGGAATGATATTGTCACATAGTATTGTGAAAAGTCTTGATTTCAATGGCCGCGAATATAACAAACAATTTGAACAGACTCATCGAAAACGCTAAAGCACGTCTGTGGTGAACACACTACACCTATCGGAGACTTGTAGAATTTGAGCATTCTAGAACCTGCTGAGATTCTTCATCTGAAGGCTGTTCTTCATTCGGTTTGTCGTCAGTAATGTCCTCATCGGAAGCTTGTCCTTCCGTCTCATCGGATTCACAATTCGGAGCTTTTGCTGTGTAGGTGATGGAAAAACTGCATGCTACCTCAGAGACCTGAACTCAGATATTGGAGTAAACAAGTGATCAATGAGATGTAGAGAATGTAACAAAAAAGGTAGTGCACTCGCGAGAGAAGGTTGAGCTTTTTTCCCCTTCTTTTGACCTTATCACAAATACCCGGCCAAAGGTCATACAGGCGACGGAAGCAGAAAACCAGGAGCACCCCGGCCGAGCCAAAGCCAGCCCGCCACGAGAGGGGAAGGGAAACCTTTATCACTTTGCGTCAATTTCTACTTATACTGTGACCAACTCGGGGATGTGGATAAAAACTATTTACATCGAAATCAACATGGAAAAGTCTACATCCCCTAGTTCACAGGGGCTAACGAGCTCGGTTTCCCCGCTCGTCCCGGACGAACCACCCCCGACGACCTCCACGCCGCAAGCATCCCCAGTACCCTGCCCAACCACTAAATTTCCAACTTGCACACTTTCAAAAATTTAAAAAGACATTTATAGACGGGAATACTGCTGGCTAAAACAATGGTGTTGAAATTGAACGGTTTTACCAGCTCTTGATTGAGTGAAAGGGAATGCAAAAAACGCTCTCTTTGACTACCGTATTTTGTACAGTATGCTCGGTCGTCCTAAAAAGGGCAATGGATCTTTAACGTCCGTACCTAGTCTGTTCGGTCTTATCGGACGTTTTGATTCTCAAGATGAAAGCTGACGCACCTCCACATGCGACAGAATGGTGTACTGCCGCAGCATTGGTGTAGAGGCAGCTCAGCCCCGAGGGGCCAAGACAACCTCGTTCCCCGCTTGCCCATTCTGAGTGGTCGGGTCTGCATTAAGCATCAGACTGTATGCCGCGCGCATAGGGCTACCTAAGCCGAAATACATCAGCCCGGTCTCCCGCGCACTCCCTAGATAGAGAAGGCCACTTTATCTCCCAGAGTATTGGGGCTTCTCTAGCGTAGAAACTACCGGATCCGCTCCGGCCGCGGTTTTGTTTAAAGTGGAATTGCTAACCACCCCCTAGAGGAGTACCGCCTACGGTAAAAACCTCCAATCAGCTCAGCCTACACCTACGTGCAAAGCACACTCGAGTAGGAGCAACCGATTCTCTACCGGTTCCCATCCGCCACTACTCACGCATTCGAGGGACTTTTCAGCATAATCGTAGCATCCTCAACGCTTACGCTGCCCTCCGATCCGCCGTATCCCGTGAGACCGGGTGTATAACGGTGGTCATACTCAAGTTTCATGCGAAGGTCACAGGTAGAAAACAGCCACTTCTCTAAGTTCCCGCCAGGGGCGTTGCCACGTACCACTACGAATCCATTACCAGAGTAACAGGGGATGGATTTTGGAACATTTCTGTCACCCCGTAGTACAGATGATTATGCACCCTCCCCCATCTATGTAGACAAGATCTGGTACCCTAACCCTCGTGTGCCTCTGATAAGGCACCCGCCGCCCATGCCTACCCGAGGCCGACACGAGTACAGCTTGTGCTTTAGAGAGGTTGCCACACCCTCAGGGCTGCACCATTATTTTGTGCCCGGACACCCCCCTTGTAACCAAGGGTTGGGAGGGGTCACAGGAAAGAGTGAAGGAACCTGGATTGAGAGAGGGACGTGGATGAGGACAAGAGGTGCCCCTTTTCAGGGCCCCGAGCCTTCCACATTATATTATACCACCCGTCGTCGCTGTTGTTCCACATTGAATGGGCTACAATTCCCTGGGTGGATTTTGTACAGTATAGAAAAATATGTTCTATATCCTCAATCACACCACATTCACTACAGTACGGATTAGGCCTTAGACCAATCTTATGCAGATAAGACAGGCAGATGCCTTGCTCCGTTCTCAATCTTGAAAAAGTGAAAAGAAGGATTTTCCGTTACCATGTTCGACGAGCCAGACTTTTTCCCTAACTTTAGGGAACAAGGAACGTTAATATTTGCCAACCTCCGCTGAGTCGTACCAATCTTGCCATTTTTCCATAAATTTTAGGTTATTAGTATTTTCAAAATCCCGTCTAGTTATTAGTACATTCAGCTGTGTTCCTACTATTGTGGCAGCTTTGGCCGTCTCATCAACCTTCTCATTACCTGCATGCCCTCTGACCCAGCGTATAAATATTTCTTTACCTCCCATCATGAATATAAATTTTCTGGGCGATATCAGTCAGAATATATTCATATCAACTATTCCCCATGCCGAAATTCCGAAGCTGGGAGACTGTACTCAAACTGTCTGTGAATATGCAAATCTTTGTTTAGTTAAAGTCGCACTGTTCTCCAAGGCTTTGGAAATAGCTAAAACTTGAGCGGTTTATACACTGCACAAACTTGGGAGACGAAACTGTTCACCACATTCTCTTTGGGGTCATAAAATGCACATCCCATGCCCCTCTCCGATTTTGAACCGTCCGTAAAATTAAGGTGGTAATTTCGAAACTTTTCGTATATGTCAGCCCTAAACATTGATTCAATTATGTGAGGAGGATAATTAGTGTAATCAGTCAATTCATAACACTGAATTTTGTTCCTAATTGCTTCGTAATCAATTTTAAACATTGGATTAACGGAAGTTTAGTACAAAGAATATATCCCAAGAACCGATGATAAAAATGTTTCTACCATAACAGGGAGTATTTTCTTCTGCCAAAAACCATATGTGAGCATACTCTAGGCTAAGAAACTTAGTTTTGAAAACAGTAGGCTATTTTTGTAATATAGTTTTATTAAACATTTCTGTGCAAATTTTCCCCACCTGATATTTAGTGGAGGCTCACTTGCCCCGGCGCATAAAAGTGGTATAGGGTTGCTAGAAAGACAGCCTCTCAAACATTTATTCTGAAAGGTAGTGATATGTTTCAGGATGCTGTTAATGGCCATAAAAAAACCGATCCATAGTCAATTACTGCCTTAATTGCCGTTCTGTAGAATAAGAAACTCACTTCGGGATCAGCACCCCATTTACTGTTCGGAAAACCTCTTAGTATATTAAATAGTTTTTCGACTCTTTCTAGTAGACGTTTTATGTGTTTGGCCCATGTCTACGATCTAGAACATGTGCTAAAAATTTGACGTCTAGTGCTACTGAGCAGCGCAAGCCATCAATTTCCTCTGTATTATCGAGGGGTATCCGTCGTTTTCTTGAAAACGGGCATAGTACAGATTTCGAGGCTATATCGAGAAACCATTTTCCCAAAACCATTTTAAAATAGTAGTTATAGAACTGTTTAAAATTTGAGTGCAGTTAATCTTTGGCCTCTACGTAAATAAAAATATCATCACCATATTGCATCGCTTTGAGAGTTTGGGAGAATCGGTTCCAGATCTGAAATGTAGATTGCGTATAAGAGCGGGCTTAGAATCCCCCCTTGTGGTAAACCTTTATACGTAGTTCTAGGGCCTTCAAGTGATCCATTGATATCAAAATACATTTCATTATCGGTAACTATGGCCATAATGTTGGAAACAAACAATTGGGGTAAACCTTATTCAACAATTTTAATTCTAACAATGACAGATCAACGTTGTCATATGAATGTCTTGCATGTCCAGGAACAGGCCTAGAATCGACTTGCCGTCAGTAAAATCGTAAATGTTGCACAGGTACTGAAGTTGAGCGTATATCACAGAGCGATCTTTACAGAAGCCATATAGACTATTTGGAAGCATATTGTTTCTTTCCAACCACCATTGAAGACGCTGTTTTATCATTCTTTCATACGTCTTTTTCACACATGACATAAGCGCTATCGGCCGATAAGATGAAGTAGAATCAGGAGTCACCACTACTTTAGCAATTCTTCCGGGTTCCAAAGCATCCAATAAACTTTGCAGGCATCCCTCTACATAAGAAGGGGATCAACCTGATGAGAAAGTAAACTCATCGAGATCTCCATTCTGAAGTTCAATTCTGAAGCCGCAAACAAGCTACAAGCAATCCTTCAAACACCGACCCTTCTCAGGGCCAATAAAAACCCAACTAAACCAGCTAATGCCCGGGGTATACGCCTCGTCCGTGGCTTCGTAAACAGCTGCTTCATCCAAAGTTCAGGGGACGCGATCGGATCATCCCCCGATGTTCCAGGGCATAAGGTTGGCCAGTACCGATGAGTCTGAGTCAGAGTGAGAAAAGTCAGGAATCAGTCAGATGGAGAGAGAGAAAGAGAGTGTGTGAGGACCCGAAATGAGTCAGTAAGAGTGATTCAATGCAGTTCTGCGTTCAAAGTACTGAATTTAGTTCAGCAGTTAAACCGCTCTGCCTCATTGAGGGAGATTTCTCTGTACACAAGAGAAAAGGAATCTGTAGTTGATTTTTTTTCCAATTGTCCAGCGTCCTTCACGTTTTTCCAAAGCTGCGTGCCTCTCTTTAAAGCCCTTGGGCGGTCCAACATTCAGACAACCTCTGCTTCCATGAGTACCTCAGGTCTACACCGTCATGTTTCGAGAGTGTGTTGTATGAAAAAATTCCTTCACGAGAGGCTGTTCTAGAAGGAAGTCTTCCCGATTGCAAAAATAGAAGAATCGATCCGTACCATGGGTCTTCTGTCGGAATTCAAACGGTAAAACTAAATAAGCATCAACTAAATCGATGAAAGAGGGGCGCATGGCAATCGGAAAAGGGCATTGGGCATTTTATTCGAGGCCAAGCAGAATCTGTAAAAACAGAAATTGATGGAAGAGTTGCGTTTTGATCAGCAACGTTACTGGCCGGTGAAACATAATCGACCTGTCAATAGCAAAACGAAACGTCATGAAACAGGTGATTCACATCACAAATGCACATCAGAAAAATGACACACAAGGCACGACAACCTCGGATTTAATCCGAGATGATTGTTATGAATTGAATGAATGGATTTGATCGGAAGGGCAGAGAAAAATCAATTTGCAGCTTTTTCCACCTTTGCAAAAGCTTCTACTTTTTCGCTATGTCGTTCTTCATGAGCGTCTTGAAGATTTTGTACACAAGGTTCGACTAAAGCGCCTCCATATGATTCCTATTAAATTTAAGACAATAAAGTAATGTTTTTAAAATTAATCACGAGGTCCGCAGTGCACCTGTATATCGTTGATTTTTTTTGTAGACAACAGTTTAAGAGATTCTGGCATGATTTGCATTTAAGCCCATGTCATAATGTGTTCAGAGTCCGGAGATGGTTGTGCATTCACGGCACGTCATGTCACGCAAGTGAGTTGAACATCCGCATAGACTTAAAGCAAATATGTAGCTCGTTAGTAGGAGCTTTCAAAATTCAAAACTATTTTTTCCCGAGGATGATAGCCGAAATTAAACCTTTCCATCCATTTTCTTCTTGTCTTCATGTCTTCCATTTTTCCATGAAAGAATGAAAGGTGGGTAAACCATTAGCAATGCGATAAATACTTCAACAATTTAATAGAACCCTTAAAATTCTCTGCGCTTTCATCACTTTTTCCGGCATTTTACCCTTTTGAAGTATTCCAAATTGACAAAAATGTAGATTCATCCGACAATGAGTTAAGAGTAAGTCCTCAGTTTAATTGGAATGTATTCCAGGACCACTACAGAAGACTAACGACAGAACTACAGGCCGTGTTAGAGCTATAATGATAGCAGAACTAGACATAGCCAGACTCTGGGTACATATAGACTCGGAGCAGCAGAAAAAAACCAGTGCTTGTACTATGGAAAAGAAAAAACAGTGCCTACTAGAAGAAAAGCTAAAGAATGAAGGATGCACATGGGAGCCTGAAGCGTTGGGGTCTGATGATGATGATGAAGTGATACTTGATGTGTTTTTCCCACCTATACCCACCCACCCACATCCACACCCACACACATACACAGCAATTCTGTCTTCTAACCTGAATCCTATCGAAGCCACCTCTAGGAAAAGGGGTTTTGTATTCCCCAGGGTTTGCTTCTGGATGTTTGTACTTTTCTTAGTCCCTTAGTTCAGTTCATTTGACTCAATTCTTCTTTTAATAAGTAGAAGGTTATTGACTATTTACAATGCAATTATTTTTGGTGGGTTTTCTTGGTACCCTAGGTTATGACTCCATTTTTAATGAGGTCATCAGTGGCAGTTGTTACCACACTGTTTGATGCACCAAAAAGAAATAGAGAAGAAAACCAATAACGATGCTGATGATGTTACTAAATGAGGGTTTGATATTCTCCAAGGATTTCAGCTTTTTGTACTTTTCATTGTTACTTAGTTCAGTTCATTTTTTTTTTTTTAAGGTAGAAGACTATTAATGCCATTGCTGCAATTACTTATATCGAATCATCTTGGTACCATAGGTTATGTCTTCATTGAGCAATTGCTTCACATTCGAAGATGATTTGAGTGGCAGTTTCTTCCTCCTCATTGTATAACTTGAAAAAAAAGTCATTAATTATGCCAATATTGTGTAGGTGTTACCTCTGATACCGAGTATAGAGTTATTAGTTTTACCCTGCCTTACTGTTGCAATGTTTTTGCCAGTTCTGGCAAAAGTTTTTTTAACCATGAGTTTACCACGTCTGGCCCCTCTAGAGTACATTTCTGCTTTTGTTTTGTGTGTATCTGAGATGGAGGAGCTTGACCATATGATCCCAATTAGAGGTTCTGGGCTTTGCACATCCTCTGGCCAATTTGTCTACTTCATTACCTACTTCATTTCTTTGTCCCTTAGCACCCAAAATTAAATCGTTATGTTTCACCATGTTTTGGATACATCCACAAACCATTTTGGTTGTGACCTTTTTGCATACTTGGATGTCTGATTTTATGAAGATTCCTTTGTTGACACAAATATTTTTCATATATTTCAGCATAAAAGATGGAGGTGTCCTTCTTGAAAGAGCTTGATTGCTCATATTTTGGGATAACCTGACCTGTAAGTTCCTGACCAGCATATGTTTACGCTTAACAGCGAAAATGGCCAAGTAGAGAACATTGGAGAGGATTCGTTGGAAACAGCTTATATAAACCACTCTGATTACATTTTATATTGTCAATTGCCTAAGCATTTTTACAGTAAAACAAGTCGGCTGAGTAGTTTGCAATTAGAAAATGTGTTTCTACCATGTTAACTTGGGGTCAAATGAAGACTCTCGTCATATACCAAGATGCCAGCTGACAATAAGTTAAGGGAATTGCTAAAACTGAGAGCTACTATTTTCTTTATATTAGGTGCAAGACCATTCTCTGAAACCCAAGCCATGGCTTTATCCATTGTGTTCTTAATTTTCAGCCATAACTCATCAGAGCGTTTCCTGCAACAATTAAAGAGGCGTCCGCAAACAGATAAAAACATACATACTTAGCAATCTGTACAAATGTATTATTATATATTAAACATAAAAGGGGGCCAATTATAGAATCCTGTGGTATGCCATACTTAATTGGGATCTTGAAAGACCGGAAGCTGATCCTGCAAATAAGAGAGATCATCTTGTGAAGTTAATGGTAATGGTTAACCAAGTTGAAAGCTTTGGAAAGGTCCAAGAATTAGCCCGCAACTTTGAGTTTATTTAATTTTGATTTGTCTATGCTATCAATTATTCTACTCAGAGCATCTTCTGTCAAAGGTGATTTTCTAAACCCAAATTGATTTTCAGAAATAAATCTGATTTTTTGGGCATATTCAGACAATCTATTGTAGAGCATCTTTTCGATGACCTTGTTAAACACCAACAGCAAAACAACTGGCCTGTAATTGGATATATCCGGCTTGTCTTCTTTTTTGAAAGCAGATGATCTTTGCAATTTTTAGCTCTGCTAGGTAAATGCCTGTAGAGAAGATGCAATTCACTACATCAGCCAACGGGTCTGTCAGCTCAGATGCTCATGAAGAAATACATTATGGTACTCATTAAGTCTTGCAGAGTGTCCTTTTTTAAGAGTTTTAATAACACCATGAAGTTTTGACTGTGTTCAAGGGTAGAGAAAAATAGAGCTTGGTTGAGCAAAATAATGATTGGAGATCAAAGGAGAAATTTGAGGTTTCGGAATATTTGAACAAAAAATTAAAAACATCAAAATGGCTTTGGGGTTAGACTCAACTGTTCAACCATGATCTATTTATGTGCTGATTTTTATTTTTTTAAGGTTTTAAGTTCTGGTCTATCAGACTCATTTCAGCATTTCGTCATCTTCAGAACTATCCCCAAAAATTTCATGATATTAATGTTTATTCTCTTTTCTAAATGATCAAAATAATAAGCTAAATAAGCTAATTTCCCAAATTATTTATTATTTAAAAGAGCACCAAGGTGTTTGAAACATATATATTTTTTTGTGTGTTCTAGGTTGGTTGTAAACTATGGAATTTGAGTGTTCTGAGCATCCTGATCCTAACAGTATTCAACATACTATTGATGCTGCGCCTCTTGAACACAGAATGCACCAGTATTTCCTCGGAGCCCGCTCCCAAACCTCAAGTTCCTTTACCTCCGCTTATTCTTGAAAATCTCTTGCCTTCGAATACCTCACCCATATTCAATGTTGATCCCAGGCTAGGCAGGTGGGATGCGAGGCACTTGTTCAAAATGATCGATCACGCCCTCGTCGGCAGCAACTTCATCGAACTCTCAACCAAAAACTCAGTGTGCCTTGCGACGCAGTCGTCTTTGGAAAAACTCCACTCTTTGGTCCAAGTGGCCCATCACTGGAGTGGACCAATATCAGTAGCATTGTTTGCAGCAGGAGATGAAGAATTTTCATTATTGCAAGGTAACATTAGTGCTTGTCTTTTGAAAATTAATTAATACTTTTTGAATTCATGATATTCAAAATGTTGAGTTTTTGGAGAAAAGCAAATTTGTCTTGCACTAGGCTCTAAGACTGGATAACTATTACGACATACTGGCAGCGTACAAAACTTTGAATTAAAAAATAAAACCATAGGTAAATAATATCTTGGCCAAGTTGTATTAACATTAGTTAAAGGTATTGGATAGACTTATCAATAATATCATTAAAAAAATTGTGTCAGACATCAATATGAGACCCATTAACAAAGCCCAGATGCTGTCAGCATCTTCACTGACTATTGAAGTACTACCTCAGATATTAAATGGGTAAAGCTATATTTGCTGACTCTGCCAAGAGGAAGAGACAGCCTTATGGCAAAGGAATTATTTCCTTCCAAAATTTTTAAAGAAGAGTATATTTTCAATAGTATGCACTGCACAGAAAGTAGTGTCAATACACAATAAATCTGGTTAGGCTATAGTGGATTTATTAATACAGGGTGTTCGGCTACTCGCATTACAAACTTTGCCCATAGATTCTACATTCAAAATAGTACGTTTTCTACAATTTGCTGGTCTCTAGGTTCGGAAATAGTATTTTAGAGTCACCATAGTAAGTTTTTCAACTTTGAAAAAAAAAATTATTTTTCAAAGTTCTCACTACTAAAACGCTTATTTTATTAAGGTTTAAAAGTTTAGTATTGATCACATCTTATTGGAAATTTAACGTAGTTTTCAATGGTATCAACGGATTTGTCCAAAACCTTTTAGTTTTGGAATTATCATTGTTTATTTGAAGCAAGGTTGTGAAATCTTAAAACATCAGAAAAAGTGGAATAACTCCAAAAGAGCTGAGATTCGGACCATAGTTAATTAGGACTGTTTGGTTCCTTTTTGAATGTAGAATCTACTGGCAAAGTTTGTAACACAAGTAGCCGAACACCCTGTATACTAGAAACCTAAGTGTTAACAGAAAACTGTCCCACTTATAGTTTCATGCAATATGAACAATTCACTAGTTTTTGTGGTCCGCTTGACCAATTAAACATTACAATTAATTAAGGTTTTTAGTTGAGATGAAAAAAAGCTAATGGCACGAGAGGGATTCGAACCCACGACCTACGGCTAGATACGCCGCTGCTTTACCACCTGAGCTAACGTGACCTCGATCCACTCGGACTTGAAAAATAGCAAAAGGAGGGAAAACTCATAAGGTGGGGTTGAGATGGGGAGTTGATGTCCGAGTGGATCGAGGTCACGTTAGCTCAGGTGGTAGAGCAGCGGCGTATCTAGCCGAAGGTCGTGGGTTCGAATCCCTCTCGTGCCATTAGCTTTTTTTCATCCCAACTAAAAACCTTAATTAATATGAACAATCTTGAAATACTGCAGGCTTGCCAAATTGCCACCTGAAAAAAACAACTTATTTTGGATCTGCAAGAATCTGTAGACTTTGGATTTTATTTGTAAAAAACCAAATCATTTTCTTTTTATACTAAGACTATGACCAAACTTGCTGACAGCAGTTTACTTTAACTTGTAATGATAATTTTTTTTGTTTCAGGTTACATTGATTTTTTACGCCGATGTTATGTTCCAGTAAGAGAAAGGATAAGCTTCCATTTAGCCTTTCCTAAAGAAAAAATTCCTACTAGTACTTATTATGTAGAAAAGACTACTCAATTGGACTGTCTGGGACCTGAAGCTTCTCTTGGTCAAATGCTCAAATTACGGTCTCCGGATATCGTGAGATGGAGAATTAGGAACCGTTATCCACAGAATCATATGAGGAATTTGGCGAGACGGAACTGCCAAACATCCCACGTTTTTTTAACTGACATAGATATTATTCCAAGTACAAATCTAGCAGAAGCTCTAGATTTGTTTATTAAGACTGAAACGTGTAAGGGTGGAAAGTGTGCATATGTTATTCCCACTTACGAGCTGGATGAGAGAGTACCTTTTCCAAGAAATAAAACTGAACTTATAAGGCTTACAGGGAGAGGTTTGGCGAGACCTTTCCACCATAAAGTGTTCATATATAATCAGTTTGCTACTAACTTTTCTCGGTAAGTATTTCCTTTGCTTCTTCAAATTCAGAGCATAAAAATTAAATGCTTTTATTTGTCATTTCATACAAAAAACTTATGCTTAATAGTTCTAAAAATAAATTTGAACTATTAATAATACTGTTAATAATTTTTGATGTTTCAGCTGGGAACAAGATATACAGAATCATGCTGTGCACATCAGTCACAGCGTAACCAACTTTGAATTTCTTTATGAGCCGTTTTATGTAGCACCTGACATTGTGCCACCGCACGATGAAAGATTTCTAGGATATGGCTTTACAAGAAACACCCAGGTAATTTGACAATAACAAGTTGATGTAAAGTAACAATCACCAGGTAACCAGAAAAGTTTGTGCAGTTTTTCATTTATTATTATTATTATTATTTATTTATTTATTTTTTTATGAGGGTTTGCAACAGCATAGGTTATATCAACCCTCGGGGTGCCGGTGTTTTTGAAAAAAAGCCCATTTGTAAGTATGTCAGGTTCGAATGCAGGGCCACTGGATTCGAACCCGGGACCTTTACCTTACAGTAATGAGCGCCGTGCCAACGCCTAAACCGTTGCGGCCACCGACGCCCCCTTCATTTATTATTATTGTTTCAATACTAGAGGATTAGATTTTACATCATATAAGCCAAGAGGATAATGTGTCAGTTTATAAATAAAAGGTGTCTTGAACAGTTCACAGCAAATAATAAAATAGTTTCTTTCTCATGGCTTCAAAACACATAATTCATGCATGCTGATTGTATGAGAATAAGCTCAGTACTAGGGCAGCCAAGGCAGCTTATAAAATTCACTGCATTCGGTGATGAAACAATAATTGAGTGACTGGTTCAAAAAGTTTGCTTCTGGAATGAGGGGATTGAGGATGAACCATTGGTAGACCTTCCGTATTGAATGACGGCGAATTGGGGCAAGCTATCGAATTTGGTTTGAATAAAACTTGTCAGAGGTTTGCCGGAGTGTTCAGCGAAAGTGATGAAACCATTTGCTCTAACTTGTATCAACTTGGGAAGACTTGGAAGCTGTGCAAATAGGTTCCTCATAACATTTGCCTTTCATGGCGCAAAGTAAAGATGTTTTTTGTCTGGTTGTCTTATGCAACGAAAAATTGATCCTGTACATTAAGACAGCTGTCTCTAAATGACCCTGTCCCATTTTGATGCGAAAACCGAATGTACACCAACAAAAGGAGATGCAGTATGTTTGATCATGCACTAAGAACTCTTACCACTAGCCGAGAAACAATCTGCTGTTGTGTACAGAAAAGGTGTAATTTTTTTACCTGAACAGAGGGAGAACTCATACGGTTAGAACGACAAAGGAGGTGATAATGAAGCTTGGTTGGGAAGTCCCACCACACCCTCTGTACTTTCCAAATCTGGCCCCATCTCACTTTTCCTTCCTCCCCACCTTTTCTTAGCAATGTAGAATCATATGCGCAATTGGAAAATTTGGTAATCACCAACAGTTGGAAAACAGCTGAATTTATTTTTAAACCCCCGGGGGACACACCTTTATTAGGAAGGGCATAACTAGGCTAGTAACTCATTGGGAGAAAATTCTATTTCCCTGAATAAAATATTTCTAAACTAATTGTGACACTTCTAAAACCACAAAAACTTTTCTGGTTACCTGGTAACAGGGGCATTATAAACCCACAATGAAAATAAAAATAATAAACCAATAACTGGGGGTATTATAAACATAATAATATTTAAAAAATCGCGGATATTTCAATATTAACAGTAAATAATATCAACAGGTGTATGAAATGTATGTAGCAGGGTATGAATTCTTTGTGTTATCGCCTGTTTTCACTATCCATTGGGGTCTTCAGAATCGGAAAGGTCGTCCTTCATGGAGGGAGAGACAAAACACAAACAACAGAAGGAATTTCGATCAGTTCAAAAGAGAAGTATTTGCACGTTACCATAAAGATCCATTAAATATGATACTCCCTCATGCCAAAGATAGCTCAAATGTTAAAGCTTAAAATAAATAACTAATATTTAATAGCATAAGCCACCAAGGGAACATTATAATGTCATGAATGGGATTATAAATTCCCATAAATAACTTAATAGTTGATTATACGAATATATATATATAGTTATGGTGAAAATAGTAAGAGCATTTAATGTATTTTTTATGTGTCTGTACTGCTGGTAGGTTATTTGGCCTTATTTTGTGTTTGAATTGCTGCTGGGTTATTTGGTGTTATTTTATGTCTTTACTGCAGCTAGGTTATTTGGTGTTATTTTATGTCTTTCCTGCTGATGGGTTATTTGGTGTTATTTTATGTCTTTCCTGCTGCTAGGTTATTTTGTGTTATTTTATGTCTTTCCTGCTGATGGGTTATTTGGTGTTATTTTATGTCTTTACTGCTGATGGGTTATTTGGTGTTATTTTATGTTTTTACTGGTGCTGGGTTATTTGGTCTTATTTTATGTGTCTGTACTGCTGCTAGGTTATTCATTTGCTGTGTGTTAAGTAAGTTTTTGCATTTAATTCTTCCAAGTCAAGTTTTTTTTTTCAATTAATAATGAGACATGTTTTTTGAATTTCGCTTTTTAGGTTATATAAATGCTCTGGGGTTCAGGTGTGTTTCTATAATACTTTTCTACTTTTCACCCATTTGGCCTTAAACATTTGCAGCACACCAAGCTGCCAAAATTGTAGATCCACCAGACAATGGCTTAAGAATTGTATTCCACGACAGAGGCAAGCTAAAAAGTTCAATAAAGGACCATCGCAACTGCCCTGAACCCTTTTGCGACATACCAAACTGCCAAAAACGTAGATCCATTAGATAACAGGTTTGTCAGGCATATCTAATCCTGTATCAGGCAACACTTTTGCCAATTTTGGTGTGAGTTCTTTAATCATGAGTTTACTGTGTCTTGCACCTCTGGATTTCCTCCACTTATAATTTTTTTTATTTTTTTATTTGGTGGAGTGTGAGATGGAGGAGCCTTGCAGACCCTCTGGCCATTTGGTCTGCTTGTTTATTACCAAAAATTCTTTTTAAAAAAAAGATTAGCTTAGGAGGTTTTAAATGCATTCACTGACTATTTTGGATGTGAGCTTTTTAGTTGATAATGATTTTAGGGTCGCTTGGCTGTCTGTTCGTACAAGGATTTTTGTCAGTGTAACCTCTTGTAAGAGTTTCTACAGCATGTTGTTAGCAGGTATTTCAGCTTGAAAGATAAATTTATGCTGAAATAATGAGTTTGAAAAACACAAAATATAGCTAATCCAGTATAGGCGGATATAATTATATATGATCTTCTTTCCCTTTGTTAGTCTGTTAAAACTTTAGGGTGTTTTAAAGGATGTTCCACGATCATAAAGTCAGTTCTTATTTCTAAAAATGGGTGTCTGATTTTATTTATGTAATGCCTTCTCTTGCAACCTGAAGAGTCTCTTATTGTTTTTTTACCATAACTGTATATGCAAGAATGTATTTTATATATACACACATATAAAAATAATAATAAAAATTACATTTTAGCCTAAATGAAAACCCTATTGGTTGTAATACACATGTCTTCCTTTTTGGTGAAAAAACGTAGTTTAATAACAGATACTAATGTGATCTTTAAAAAAACAGGACTGTATTGATATTTTCTATGGACTATTTTACCACAATAAATTTTTATTGTACTAAATAAATTGTAATGTAATAGTGTACATTTGATATTTATACAAATAGTATATGCATTAAAAATAACCAAAATTGATATAATCACTGACTCTATTTTCATATCACAAACCTCTAACAAAATTCAAATTATAGATTAAACTTTTTTTATTTCGATAAAACATATATAAGTATTATTATCATAAAAAAAGCTAACAATACAGGTTTAGATTATAAATATTTCTAAGTGATGTATATTTATTATTATGATCTGTATTTATAGATGTGATGTTTAAATTTTATATTATTGTCATTTGTATTATATTTGTTATTTTATTTATTATAGAAATATATGTTAACTTTGTTTAGAGCATTAATTATGTTTTTTTTAGAGCCCAAAAGCCTATTTTATTTGAGAGAAATTAAAAATAAATAAATTCATTATGATAGCAGGACCTTCGAGCAGTATCTGGTGCTTTTAGAACAAGCTCTTTGACCAACCAGCCTATGCTCCGGACAGGGAGTGCTGTCGCCCAAATGCTGGGGGAGCAGCTTACCTTCAGCTTTGTGGCAGGGTTCCTTGCCAAACCGAGACATCCACTTTTGGGTGCAATCCTTCGATGTCAGTACAGCAGAATATACAAGCGACTTCAGACCTGAACACGACCCCTGGGAATAGACTACCAAATACCATGTATTGTGTGGGTTCATCCACTTCTGGCCACTCCCCTTGCACTGTAGTGTTTACACGGAGGGATCGTATGTGATTTGGCACATTTTAAGGTGATTTGAGATGATGATGGCTCTGCTTACTTGGTCTGCGCCTACACCCTCGGTGTGGTTACTGCTGTCTGTGACAGGTTCTCCATCGACCTTCTCGTTGTGCTCTTGTTTGAGAAATACCATGAACCTTGGCAAAATAGTTGTTGGTTTTGGTGTCTGGACACATAATTCTGGAATGTAACAAAAAGGCGGAAAAGGCTGCTAAAGCTAGTAGGTCCCATTTCATTTATTTTTGCTTTTTTAGGGTTTTATGGAGGTTTTCTCTTAGGTCTTTACTTGATGTATAAAGAGACAGTGGTCTCGGGACCTGCTCTCAGAGAGTGAGAGAGATTATAATTAATTTATATAACAATTAATTAAGGTTTTTAGTTGAGATGAAAAAAAGTTAATGGCACGAGAAGGATTCGAGCCCACGACCTTCGGCTAGATACGCCGCTGCTCTACCACCTGAGCTATCGTGACCTCGATCCACTCGGACATCAACTCCCCATCTCAACCCCACCTTATGAGTTTTCCCTCCTTTTGCCAGAGCAGCGGCGTATCTAGCCGAATGTCGTGGGTTCGAATCCCTCTCGTGCCATTAACTTTTTTCATCTCAATTAAAAACCTTAATTAATTGTCATGTATTAATTGGTCAAGTGGACCACGAAAGTAGTGAATTAATTAATTTATATTTTATGAGTGCTATCACCGGTAGTTTCTTCACATGTAAAGTACCAAAAAAAAAAAAAAATTGACCATGCCTTTGCATTCCTTGGAAAAGATTTTTGATAAAATCCTGAGGAATTCTTTTCCATTCATCCAGAACTGCCATTTCCAATTCTTCTATGGTGTTAGGAGCTGGGTTTCGCCATTGTACTCATCACTTAAGTTGGTCCCAAATGTATTCAATTAGGTTCAAATCTGGACCTAAACATAGGGTGTAAACACTATAGTTCAAGGAGATTGACCACAAAGCGGATGTACCCTTGCAATATATGGTATTTGGTAGTGTATTCCCAGGTGTCGCGTTCAGGACCATACCAAACACTCAGTTCCAACCTCATTCAGGTTGTCATCCACAATATGTGCTCTATGGGGCCTGGCATTATCCTGCATTACCAAGAACCTCTCACCGATCACCGATATGGGGTGCAAATGACACATGTTCTTCAATTGTGTCTTGTAAGTATCTCTGTGAAGTTAGAGATTTTCCTCGCACAACAACCAATTCGGTGCGGGCGTCCGAGGAAATGCCACCCCACAACATCAGTGACCCACCGTGGAATACCACCTGTGTAGGATTAGTGACCCACGGTGGAATACTACCTGAGAAGGGATGGTTAGGGAGTAGGAGTACCCGTACATCATGGGGCTTATCTTTTTTCTGAGCATCTCCATATTAAATTACACCCATCTGAAGATTTGAGACCAACTCTCACCTCATCTGTAAAGAGAACTCGTACCCAATCCAATGTCCAATCCACATGTTCTCGTATGAATTGAAGCCAGGCCATTTTCTGAGCTGTGGTAAGAAGAGGCCCACGAGCCGGGTGCCAGGCCTGATTTCATTTAGCTTTCTTCTTACAGACCTGGAGGAAATGGAAACATTTGTGACTTGTCTTATCAGATTTCTTATCTCATTTCCCGTAATTCTGTCGTTTCATAGAACCTGATGACGGAGAATCTACCGTCTATCTCGTCTATAGACGTAGATCGACCCTATCCTGGCCTTCTAGTATGAAGCCCTGTTTCTCTGAAGTGCTGAAGAATCCTTCCTGTTATAAATTGATTTACCCACAGTCTCCTGGCGACTTCGTGCAGGCTGCATCTTTCCTCCAATAATGTTATGTCCCTGACAATGTCATATTCACTCAAATGCCTTACTGGAGCCATTGAAAAACGTTTAAGAATAATAATATTAATTAATTTAAATTCACTAATTTCGTGGTACGCTTGACCAATTAAATCATTACAATTAATTAAGGTTTTTACTTGAGATGAAAAAAGTTAATGGCACGAGCGGGATTCGAACCCATGATCTTCGGCTAGATACGCCGCTGCTCTACCACTTGAGGTCACGATAGCTCAAGTGGTAGAGCAGCGGCGTATCTAGCCGAAGATCGTGGGTTCGAATCCTGCTCGTGCCATTAACTTTTTTCATCTCAACTAAAAACCTTAATTAATTGTAATAATAATAATATCATGTGGAATCAACAAAGTAAAAAGATTAACTGAGTGATCTTTAGGCGTAGAAGAACAGAAGGCCATAATGCTATGATTTGTACAAATGGGATTAATCAGTACAAAAGTAAATAAAGGACATAAACAAAGCATTATTTACTGATTATTTTGATTACAATAGCTTTACCTGAAACTAATGTACAAAAATAAGGGATATAATTTTAAACTAAATAAATTTAGTAGTGTGTTAAATTTGTCCATCTGTGTATGGACTACTTCCTACATACTTAGGTTAAACGTCTAACTCCCCATTGGATGTTGTAGGCAAAACCTTTTTACATATTTATCTTAAATTAAGGTTTAACAGTTATGCCAGGATTGAAACTTGGAACTGACATTGTGAGAAATACAAGTTCGATTTAGCCACCAAAATCCCCTGATACTTGACTTATTATAAAACGAAAATTTTACTTTAAGGAAAAAATTCTGACTTACTAGTAAAAATTTGTAAATTTTTGTGGTTTTATAACCTGCTATAAAACTGACTTCTTGTTCAGGCCCGTGGAGTGACAAAGTTGGTTTGTCCATTCCCAAACATCCTTGCCTGCCAATTTTCAACATATTTCACCATCCTCAGTTTTATCAGGATTGACAAAATATTATCATTGGAAATAGCAACCTTTGATGAAAGGTGGATGTTTTTCCAAACATTATTCAACTGTAGTTCAAGTTTTCTGAATCAGGGGGTCAAAAATAAATAAATTTGCTTTGTAAAAATGCCAAGAAATGTGGTGCAAATTGAGACCTCTACTGAATTGAATATATATATTTTTAAATAAAATTTATTGGTCCTCATGTAAAATTAAAATTATGTATTCAGATGGAAAATCAATTCAAGGTGTATAAAGGAATAAATTTATGTTGTTTTTTTTTCAATTATTTATTTTGTTCAGTCAAAAATAATTAGAATCAAATCAGATTCAATTTTTTAATTATTTTTATTTTTTTGTATAGGAGCAGCGAATTTTATGGTTTATAATATTATAATTATACTGTTTTCAAATTCCGCCTATTAAAATTAATACAAGTTTGAAAGTATGTTTAAATTTATTAATTTTAACAATATTTCTGTGAGGAACACCATTAAATTTTTTGCAAAAATCTTTTAAAAATGTGCCATCTCATTATCATACAATTCCAGTAAGTATGAAAGTACTTTATTACAACTTTTATTACTTACTTAAAAAACTCATCTTTTCAATCATTCAATACAAAGGAGAATGAATGTGAATGAAGGTGTCGAGTAATTATTAATAAAAAAGTGAAGTCATAAGTCGATCTTGTAGCGTTCCTTTCATTGCCAGATGTCCACCCCTGTAAAGATTGTTAGAGTGTTGTTAGTTGTTTTTTATTATATAGGATAAAATAAAGAACAAATTTTTTCATCATCTATTGTATTTTGCAAATACTAACAATTGAAATTTGAAAATTTGTAATTTTATGTTAGTAATATATTCAGCTCGGTAAAATGCTATCCTAAACAAGACAGTTTTTTAAACTGATGTTTATATCAAAATCTTATTGTTTTGACTTTCTATTATATGATGTTCATGAATTTCTAATTATTTTATTCATGGAAAGCTCGCGAATAAAATAAATAATATTGTGATTTCAGTGTAAATAATTATAACTATTTTAATTTGTAATTTATCTTTTTGTTGTATGATGACTCTTTTCACTTAATAATCAGTTTCTAGGTCTTTATTGATTGATCTGATTTATATTGGATCAAATCTGCACGTGCATATATAGAAATGAGCGTATCCCTTCTCGTAGTCTACCGCCAATTCTAGTTTTTATAATTTATAATAAATTACTGAAAGGCCTTGAGAATCACCCACCTCTGTCTTATCTGGCACCAGTTGGGCTCCAGGTATTATCAACAGCTAGGTCATTTCAACCCCCAATACCATCAGTTCTTTAATTCATTCACTCTCATGCACTCTTAAATACATTCTTTGTTATTTACATACCATTCACTCAGGTTAGTGGAGTACTCGATATTCCTCCATCACTCTTTACACCTAACCTAACTGAGGGTCATTGGGGTACTGAATATTCTACTATCTCTCACTACACATCCATGCCAATAAACATTCACTCTCAACTCACACTAGGGAACCCACACTCGCGGCCGTGCTCAACCACATTTCTTATATCGGGTGGCATTCCTACGTGCTTTTTATATGGAACTAGGGGATTGCATCCTTCAATTGGGTTAGACACATCGAGCAACCTTTGTCTGCCAGGGACACATAAATGGGCTTTGACCAAATAAGTGTCTATGTGTCAGCTCGCATGGCCTATTTTTAATCGGGTGAGGATGATCCTTCTTCTACGAGTCAAGGCCTCCGAGGGCCACCTATCGACAGTGCACTCGACAAGTGAGAGCTTCTCTGCTGATCTGGCCTTTTCTTATCAAGTCACTTGTTTCTTATATCTAATTATAAATCCTAATTAAAAATCAACCCTTTGATCGTCTATGGCACATGGGTTTACTGCGGAAATTTGAGCGCATCCTTCCGTTATTGCCTCATCCTAAAATCCAATCTGTCCAATTGATACTTTCAAGTATTTATCGGTACAACCATTCCCATCCACTATGTCATAGAGGGCGTTCAGCAAGGCAGCATCCTCGGTCACATAAGCAATTAATTACAAAATTTAAGCAAACCAAGAAATGGGTTGGAAGAATAGTTCAAAAAATGTAAGACAAAACCCAGCAAATACTTTCACCCTCCAATATACAAGAATTCTATTTATTTGTTATTCTACTGTATGTAGTTTGCTGTTTGGGGCATTAAAAAAAGACTTAGCTTAACTTGACAACAGATCAAAACTCTCCAAGCAAAGAAAAAATCCAGTCATTTCTGTCTAAAATCATTTGAACCATCGCCCAAACTCACTAATTTCTGTCCGACTAATCCACAACCCTCTTAAAACCCTGGACACTCAACCCCCTAGTCCGATATCTTTAATCCTGAACCCTTCCTGACAACCCTCGAAGATGTTTAAAGCGCCAATGGCCCGGCGATTTCCTCCCTAGTGGGGAAAAGAATATTTGTTTTGTTAGGAGTGTAATTAATGGATTACTTCTCCACTCTTGTATAAAGAGTTATATAGAGTTAATAAAGAGTTACTTGTAGTGCTCCAGTGTTTTAACATAATACTAATTTAAAAAAAAAATAATTAAAATTAAGAAAAGGTAATGTAATCAATTCACCAAATTTTCGTAAAACCGTCATGTATTATTAAAAGCATTTTAGTTACACTTCACAAACTATTATACAAACACTCCCTGTTAAAATAAGGAACTTCTTTCTTAATTTTGGTGCTTTCTATTATCTGCTATATTTAATTCCCCTAAACAATAACATTATGAACAAATATACAATTTACATATCACATTTAAATATATAAAATACAAAAAATATCACAATACATAATGTATATACATTTTAACAAAGAAATTGTTCATGTGTTAATTCATGTGCAGTTGAATGAATGATAAACATCGAATGAGAAGCAACCGCTAATTAATACAATAAATTTAAATGCCATAAATAAACATTGAATTCACTGTCATGGGAATTTATAATGACAGTAGTTTCCCGTAAAATACACCTCTTGGAAAGAATAAAGCAATAGGATATTACAATTAAGTACATGAAGAAGAGAGAACTTGTTTCCAATTTGAATTTGAATGTCAAGGAAAAAGTAGTGAGCTGTTATATTCATTGTCAAGGCTTTATTGAACAATCTACTTTGTTAATATGTTGTTCTTATCACAGGTTTTAATGACGTAAGTACTTAAACATCCCCCAATAAAAAAAACAATTCTCTACTTTTTAAAAGCTCCCAACTCTTCACATCTATACAATTTAAATTCTTGTTTATTTTTTAAATTTATTTTTTTTCTATTTGTTTATTTTTTAATCTAAACACTGGGATGTTTATTAATAGTAACATTTAGAAAAAAATTAAACCTAGAAATATATTACTTTGATTTACATCACAATTATAATGCAACTAAAAATATATATTTTAAAAAATACAAAATGTACAATATACATGAAATAATTGGTTATATTATATTATTTGAAAATAATAATTCTTATCACAAGTCTATATTTTTTGTAATAAATTTTCATCGTGTCAAAGCATTAAAAAAAAAGATCAAATAAAAAAACACAAAAAAATAGAATTATCATATTTTAAGTAAGTTGGATATACATATTATAAAGGAACAATACTGAAAAATAAATGTGAAACCAAGACATTTGTACTGTTTTATTTATTTATTTAATATTGTTTAAGCAATCGGTCAATACTATTTACTGGCCGTAGTGGTATTTCATGATTCTAAGTTTGTGAAATAAAACCTTGAAATCTCGTTAATGCATTTACTAACATTTATAAAGAGGAAAGTAGGTACATCCAAGACAAGGTAAGTCATAGAAAAAAAATAAATAAAATGAAAGGAACACAAAGAGACTCATAACAAAATTATAAAATATAAAAATGTCTTGTTTTATAATTTTCATTCTTCACAATGATCCAATTTTTGGTGTGAAGTTTTGGAAATAATATTTATAGATTAATCAATAATCATTCGCGTAATGAGGGTAGTCGTTTCAAAAAATCCATTAATAACGAAATGATTTCCTGGTTGACTTTGAGACAAGAGTATGACCGAGGAAGTAGGGAGAAATAGTTCCAACTTGTGAAGTCGGTGATACCTGGAAATAAATATTTAAATTATTTAGTATAGATTTAATAAAAAAGGACAATTAGTTTGATTAGAATGTATAATTGTGCCATTCTGAAATTTACTCATATTTGAATTTTGCCCAAATAAAAATTAATATTTACCTTATTCTTTTTAACGTGGAGATCAGTTACTCTGTGTCTGGGAACGGAAAACCTTTCCTTATGATGTCTAATTGTTGGATGGCGATTGGAAGATATAAAATCATTTTCTGATTTTCTCAACCAGTCGAGGCTGTTTTCATTTGGATTGTGACCCAACTTGGATTCCAATCTTTGATGAGAAGAGTCCATCGAGCTCCTTCTCATTTCGTTCCTCTTCACTTTATTCCCTCCAGTCGCCTTACGGTAAAGATGATGATCAAGCGAGTAAGGGTAGATGTGCCCCGCTCGACCGCCTTGATCATCATCGATATGGCCAAACAATTTCCTTTTATGGTGATGAGTACCATCACTTTTGATATCTATGTTTTCAATCGACGACCGGGTTTGCAGGACGTTGTGCTGGTACGTCGTAGATTGTTTCACCATCATGTCTGAATATTGATCGCTCATCTCTTGGTCGTCAACATAATCTTTGTTCTCTTTGTTCATATTCTTATGACTGTCACTCCTTTTACTAAAAACCAGTGAAATTTCTAAATTAATTACTTATACTGGTCCCAATTTTGGAAAATGTATTTATTATATGGCAATAAATTAGATATATAATTATGCAAGGTTTTTTAATGATTAAAAATGCTGAATTTCTTATAGTTCATTGGAAATTTTAAGTCTTGTTATATGATAGAAAATTAATGATTATATATTACTGTGATGTTTATGATAGTATTTGCAAATAGATGGTTAATATTATATTATATATAATATACATATAGATAACTAGTCTAGTTAAACTAGATTGACAAATTATCTGTTTATCAGGGTTGCACCAAGTGAAATTATATTTGGATTTGTTAGAAAGAGTTTCAAAGTTCAATTTTGATAGTTAATCACTTTAATTTTATGGATTTTTTTATATTAAATTTATGGTTTTTATTTGTTAAATTTATCATTTTGAATGGATGATAAGGTGGAGAGTGAAATGAGGAAATCGGTGCAACATACAAAACACATCCACATCAGAAGCGTCGATTTGTTTTCTTATTTTTTATGTCTTTGAACATGTCTTAATGAAAATTGATGGCCCCGCCATTTGATATGGAAATATCAAACCTAAGTACCTACGTACCTACCTATCAAACAAACCTACTCACAGGAAATAAAACTCTTAAGAATACAACTTAAAAATCTTTGTACGAGTTAATTATTCAGAAAGCGTGAGATGCGGTCTGGTGTAATGTAGGTTTCAGAAAAACATTTTTCATCTTCAGGGCGCAAAGTGTTTGTCTTCTGTGTAATTGTGCCATTCTTGCGTGTCATATTGAGAGTACCCTAATTTTAATTTCTAATGATGTCTAGGTTTTTTCAAGAATAAAACAGTAAGACTGTTTGAAAATGCTCGGTGTTTAGTCTGCAATCTTCTTTTCAAATAGTTAAAAAAAAAAAAAAAATGAAGAGTTAGATATAAAAATGTAACAAACTAAATAGATTTCACGGTGTTTTATACATTGTCAACATTATTTTGTTATTGTCTGGGATATCAACTTCTGGCTCCAAAAGTGATTCACTTAATTCAATGTTCATAATGGGGAAAAATGATGATTTAGGAGTCTTTCAGATTTTTGTTCAAATATTTATAAAATTGGTCTTGTTAAAATGAGACAGCTCATTTCCGCTTTGGTTTATTTATAAGTCAACGTTTTGATATTTAAATTTATCAAATGCTAAACTTCGCTAGTTGCACTTTCTCTGACTTTTTATTTTGTGTCGTCTCAGAGATGATACATTTTCTTTTTTTCTCTACAATTGATTCATAGTAATCACCGCTTATTGTATAATTTATTAATTGATCAAGAGATTATCAGTATTGTGTAGGCTAAATAACATTAATCTTGGATAAGTTATCTCCAACATTATATGATCAAAAAAATTATATTTGCTCCGACCTTAAAAAAAAATATGCTTATCAAATTGATAGCAAACTGACATTGAAGTGTCTTTAAATCAATCATATGCTAGCACAAGACAGTTAGTTTAATAGATGTCAATTTATAACCAGAGTTTTCTGCATCATTCATATTCATGGAACGTCCGTAAGGCGCTGGCAAATAGCCACCGAGATTGAATGATTGCGCATATTATAGTCCGATCAATTTAACCGAATTAAATCAAGCATGATTCTCTTTCCTGAGGCATTATCATTAATGAAAATGCGATAAACGAGTGATCATTTACCTGATTTGTAAATAAGGCGGGGATTTAGAGTCGTCAGAAGATCCCTCGCTGCAGTACGATTCAAGAGTGCTAAACGAGCAGCCGTTGTGACAGCATTCGTCAACGATTCCTCTTCGGTATCTTCTGTCAGTAGGGATAGGAGCTGTCAAAAGAAAAGAAAATAATACAATATTTCTAATCAGAGGGGTACCATCCAAATAAAAAATCTCTTGATGCAAATATACTTATTAATTATATCTTTATTAATTATATTATTAAGTTGCAAAATAATACAATGGGATGCTGGCAAGTTTGAAGTGAATATCATGGAATAACGTCTATTTTCTTTCCAGGTCTTACTGGTGTAATTAAACGTTTATCCATTTGGAACTTTTAATTTCTACTACTAATATTATTCAAGAAAAATAACAAAAATACAGAAGGCAGAAAATAGCGAAGTATTTATAAATTTTGTGTGGGCGTTTTAAAACAAGTAAAATGTCAGTAATAAAAATCGAATCAATCCAAAAGGAAACTGTTAAGACTTAAGACAAAATGGCAGGTGTATATGAACAAAAATCGTATTAAGTACAAACAAGGAAAAAAGAAGTCCTTTAGAATATTGATAAAAGTAAGAAAAAAATTACATAATGTTGCTAGTTAAATTGAAAGAAAAAAAGGTAGAAAAAAATAAAACCAGCTTTAATGTTGACTATTATCACTACAGATCACTACATCCGCTCCTTTATGTTATGTAATATCTGCGGTGCAGTTTTCCTTATTACCTTCTGACACATTACATTTGAAAATAGGCGCATTTATTTTTGATTAATGTATTTTACCGACGGCCAGTTCGTTTAATTCAGCAGGCGGCTTTTTATCAATTTGCATACATTATAAAAATCTATTTATAACATACTTTATAATCGTTTTTTAAATGCTAGATACAGACGTATATAGCCTGGCAGTTAGCGATTTGTTAAAACGTATCTCATATGTTGGTGAATTAAAAATTGGATTAGATTAGACTAAGCCCTCGATACCGAATTTCGAACTAGAAAGTGAAAATCGATTTTGAAATTAATAGATCCTGTTGAGGGAATAAATATTCATATACCTAAAGGTTTTGTTTTTTAAATTCCTATGAAAAAATGTCATGTTTTCCTTGTTCGTTTGTAAAAGAATTAAAGACTGACAGAATTTAGCTTAAGAGGAGTTCCAAATCATAATAAATGAAACCGAAGAGTGGAGGAATTCTCATATTTCTGTTAGCCACTTTTGAGAAATAATTGAAGTCAGATTTAATTTAGGTTAAGAGGAGTCTCAAATCACAATAAATGGAGCCGAAGAGAAGTAGATTTCTCATGTTTTCCCCGAAGAAGCCCATTTAGAAGAGAGTTCTTTGGATCATAAAATATCATTACTTAGAATTTAAAATATCACCGAGGCCGGCGCCACACTAGTCGGAATGCGACGGAAGTTTTCGTGACGGAAATTTCGCGACGAAAAATCCTCCCAAAACGAACAAGCCACATATACAGCGGAAATGAACGGAATGACTTCAACGACTTTTTGGATATGCGGTTGATAACGTGACTCAGCTGATCGTGTACGGTACAATGAAACAACTTTTCATTTTGTGTATTTACAAGGAGATGGAGAAGCAGAAGAAAAAGAGAGAACATTGGATTCGTCCATTGAATATAAAAAGGGTAGCACTTGGTCAATTACACTGTCTGTATGGGGAACTTAGACGCTATTCTGTCAAGTTCTTCCAATACTGTGGGATGACTGTAGCTTCATTTGACGAGCGTCTTTAAAATTCCACAGACAGGGGGCCTGTTCTGAACTTCCATAATAAATTGGTCAAGTCCATCCTAGATCAGCTTCACTTGTAGTTTGCGTGTCCGACTGCCTACCTCTTCCGTTCTACGCTTGTCCGTCGACAGGGTAGCGCACCCTGATCTGATCTGCTTAGACGGAACCCAGCAGAACATTCCGTCGACGGACCAACGGAGCTCGACGGAGACATTACGACGGGATTTCCGTTCAGTCTGTCGCTGGCTGTGTGTTTTGAATGTAAGGCTGTGCAGCGGAAATTTGGGTCGTGAAAACTTCGCATTCCGTCTTGTATGGCGCCGGAACACTCTAAATATATAGATAGAACTGGCATTTTCAGATTTATAACACACAAAGCGGACTTGGACAGTTTATCTCACCATCTCACTCTATCAAAACTGCATTCAAAATAAAGAAGGCCCCATTAACGATTGAAGACTTATCTATATTCTTAAAATCAATGCAGACGTAATAAAACAAACGAGCATTTTCAAAAACCAATAGTACACGCATGTTAAACCCCTATTCCACACTCGAGTTCTGTGATACACCAAGTACAAAACTCATCGGGGTGGACAGATGAATAAACTGCTCTACAAAAACTTATTGACTGGAAAAGCCGCATAAACCAACGAACATATAACGACCAGGATTTAAGAGAAATAAGGGAAAGAATACTGCGAACAAAGAACAGAATACCAGCTGAAAATGGAGATGCTAAAGACAAGACTGGAAGAAATACTTTAATTCAATCAATGTCAATCAATGGAAAACAAGTTTTTAAAGAAATATGTAAAAAAAAGAGAACGGAGAATTCACAACATCAATATTTTATAGTTTGAAGAACCTATGCTGGGTACACTTATGCACACTGAGTCAGAAAAGGATGACGCACTGATGCACACAATCATAAGGAAAAAACGGACTGAAGAGCTGCTCTCTCCCGACGATTTACCGTTTCAAACATCTGAAGTTAAATCCACAATAAAATATTTAGCTTCCAAACAGACGAGAGGAGATGGTTTCCAAGTGAAATTTTCTACGAGGGTTAAACGTCTAACCGAAATTCACAACAGAAATCACAACGTTCATTCGGGGGAACAAAATAAGCGGCTGAAAAGATTAATGAACTGTGACAAGTTTATCGGCATCCCCCGAGGCTCCAGGGTGTCACGGTTGTATTCGGACCTGTCCTGGCTCTACCCCTCTTCCCGATGTTCCTTCCTTGGTTCCTTCCGTACAGGGCCATGTAAACACCCATCGTCCTCCTTACATTATCAAGTCCATCCTATTCAAATCCTCTTTCCACTCCTAAAAATACACGCTCATCTCCCTGTGACCTAATCCTTCTCCGGCTTAAAACATTCACCTTTAAATGATCTTATCTTATCCTAGCACCAAAATTCTGGCTCCCTCCCCCTAAATATCCTCAAAGCTGCTTACCTTACCTTAAACATCTCCTGTACATACACCTCCTCTCCCACCAAACAGAGTCGATTTAACCACAGTTTAAATTTACTCAATAATAATTCTTTTTCTATGTTAATTTTCAGAGCAACTCGTTTCAGTTTTAACTCCTTTGGGTTTTGTTTTATATAAGTCCGTAGTTATTACGTTGATCACCACGACTAGGCTTATTTTTGTGTTAAAGTGTTATTAATTTTCACTTTAACTTACGTATTATTCTAAGGGGAAACTCTTATCCAAAAATAAATTATTTATTCTTCTTCTTGCTTATAAAGAGGAACTTTCCCAAGGATATGGAAAAAAGCGAAAATTTTCATCTAAAAGCCGGGAGTCGAAAAATACCGACCGATTAGTATCATATCAACGGGAGGCAAAATTCTTAAACAACGAATAATAGACTATCTTTACTCCAAAAATTTACTGTGCACCAAAAAATTTGGTTTCACTCCCAAAACCAGTGCTGTTGATGCACTTCTCAGTTGACAAATCGTTTGTGGAAACTAGTTTGGATTCAAACATAGAAACAGCTCATGTATCTCCAGATGTTCATGACGCTTTCAATGCCGCGTGGTGGTCGGAATTGTGAAACTTTAAATGTCCCGCGAAGCTTTTCATCTTTGCCAAAATCTATTTTACTGAGAGGACAGCAAAAATCAGATCGAATTACCGCTAATATGAAAAAAATATCGAAAGGCTATCCACAGGGATCATGTGGACCTGGATGCTGGTGTACATTGGATGACTCCTTGCCCCTGTCTTGATCTCCCCGAACTTTGCGATTGAGTCAATCTTGCGACTATCTTCTGCCTATAAGAAGGTCGTCGTGCTGAGATGTCTTAATTAAAGCGAACATATTCTTCACTGCATAAATAGCAACAGAAAAACAAAGATACTTTTTAACAAAGACAAATCTATTAAACTACATGTCACAAGGAAACACCGCGCTGGAGATCTTGAGATCTACCTACAAGGCAAGAAGTTAAAAAAATGAGTTATGAAAAATGAATACCTAGGAGTAACCTTCACCAAAAATTTTACATGGACCTCTCAGATGACAAGAACGTGCTCCAAAGCCCTGCAAATAATCCATGCACGGGTTTGGACAACAAGCCTTGAAAACTACACTAAGAGGCAAAAAAGTGGCCATCTTTTTTAAAAAAGTTATACGTTTTATTTATTGTTGTTTAAGAAAAATATAAGATATAGCTAAGTAAATAAAAAAATTTTACTGTGGGAACAATGAAGAAAACATACAATTCAGTAGGGAGTATTTTCTCGTCTTGCGTTATCACCGCATCTTTTGACTTGACATCGATTTTAGAAGGTTTTGAATGTGCTGTGGAATATTTTCATACCCCTCCAACAGCGCCATTCTTAATTCCTCCAAATTCTCTGGCATCACTGGGCGATTTTTCACCCTCTTTCACAACTCGTCCCAAAGGTGTTCGACTACATGCTGGCACTCCAAACATTGTATTGAAGCCTGTGCCAAGTAATCACCAACGATCTTAGCTGTTTGGGGGGGGGGGCCTTGCAATGCCTTGCAGAAAAATAAAACCGTCGACAATTAGTGGCATGTAAAGAACAACTTCTTCTGATAACACATCTTCAATGTGACGCGAAGCTTTTAGGGAACCCTCGATGAAGATCAAGTTTGTGCGACCTTACAAAGAAATGCCTGCCCAAACCATAAAATCATCACCTCCATAGCTTCTCCGGAGTGAAAATGTTGCGGGGAGATATCGCTTTCTTGTTCTCCTCCAAGCCTTCTCTCGGCCATCAGAAGTGCTCAAACAAAACCTCCGAAAACAAGATTTTAGTCCAATCATGCTCAGACCATTGATGTGATTCCTTGAG